TTCATAGTCTTTATGACTTGAGTGATTAAACATTTAGGGATATTTAAAACATGTTCCCCTAAAGTCATATCACTTGGGAGTTATTAACCAAAAACTCGCTACAAAGGTCATTTAGAAAGTTTAATGGATAGAAGTCTTCATATATATATATATATATGTCTTCAAACACTTCTTTTAGAGAGTTAGAGCGTTGACAAGGGATTATTAGCTTAATTGATTCTTGAGGATTGAAGCAACAAAAAATAAGGAGAATTTTTATTTATTGATGCATTGAGCTGCAATTAGTAAGATCAAACCAAATTAGAAAGGGTGAAGACTAGTATATAAATTCAATTTTAGATCATGCTTGGGAAAAGAGTTAAAAAAAAATATAAGTTTGGGGTGTGAATCTTACAAGATAAGAAATTATATAATTAACCATTGACGGTCGAGACTTGAAAAACTTTATAAATTTATGATGCTTGACATGAATTTTCACACACACACATACAAACATCAGTTTTGCATTAGATAAGTAGAAATTAATTTTAGCATTGTAATTTTGAAGCAGATCATAGTTTTACAGGAATTCCAATCCTGAGACCGAAAAAGAAAAATTTTACAATGTTTTTCTAAAATTTTTGGTTAAGAGGATATAGTTCTATTTGAGGATGAATAAATGTTCAAGTTTGGGGTGTTTGATAAGTGCATTTTGTACACTTATATAGGCTAGTAAATTGAAGTATTTGTTAGTGATTTAAATGAGTTATAATTTAATTATATGTTAATTACATTTGATTAGATTGAATTCAATACAAATTGGTGGAATTGGAAGGAAGGAGTGAAAAGGGCAAAAACGAAAGAAATCTAAAGTTTGGGGATCAAAGTGTAAATATTCAGCAGTTGATTCAGACTATAAAATGATTAATGAAGATCACATATGATCAATTGGATGCAATTTGGAGGTCAAAAGAATGAAATTGAGTTAAAGTATTTCACAAATCAATTTCTAGCCGAAGAAGTTATTCTCCGAAATTTTGGCCTCAAATTGAGATCCATTTTTTTAATAAAAAACATTCAAATTGAAAAAATGAATTTTAGAAGAATTTTATCTCTTTGAATTATCTTTCCAACTTCCTTTGAATCGCCTCAATCAAATATCAGGAGAGAATGCTATAACAAAAATACTAAAAGCTACTCATGGACAAAAGAGCTCAAAACGGTGCACGCGAGATACAAATTTCATGACCCGAGAACTACATGCTTCAATGGTGCTTGCATAGGTATGCAGGCTTTTTCCTCAAACGAATCAACATTTTCCCTTTGCGATTCAAACTCTTTTGGGACCCAAATTGGACGCGATTTTGACCTATTTTTGGACTCTTATTAAAAGAAAACAAGGGGCTACACATAAAAAAAAAGTTTCTCTCTTGCCTCTTTATATACAATAATATCATCAAATTCATCAAGAACAAGAGGTCAATTACTATATTTTGAGAGAAGAGATCAAGCCTTAGCAAGAATTGATGGTCAATTACATCAATAAATTGAAGAATTCAACTTTGAACTTAAAGATCAACATCTTTTGCATTCTTTTATGACCCAGGTGATATCTTTTCATTCTTCGTGTAATTTATATATTAGTATACTGGGTTGAATCTGCTTTTCTATTGGATGAGGATAAAGATGAACACTATTTGTTGTTTATTTCTATTTTAAGACTAGTAGTTTAATATCTCTTGCATTTCTTGATTAATTTTGCATACTCATTACATTATTTAATTGTTTGGCTACCAGATAGATAATTAGTTTTTTGTTGTAGTATTGAGAGACTCACAATAAATTTAGAACATGAAAAAATTAATATATATCCAATAGTTGTTAGTAATAATATTTATCACGTGTGGAATCATGTAGATAATCTAAACTTTAATGCGTCCTAATTATTTGAATTCGGGATAGGTATATATTCGAGTAGTGGTTAGGATAGAATTAACTTGTCTTGAAAAAGAAAGTCAAATACATCAGTTTTATCGAATGTCATGAACGCATGAAATGAACTAGATTACGAATCAAGAATTGAAACAGATAGGAATGTGCTGAATCTAGATCCAACAAAATTATCCATAATTTAATAAAAACCAAACTTTTATTACTTTTTCAGATTAATTTAGCAAAAATAAAATCAAAATCTATCTTTTATTTTATATAATTCGAATTCTATACAAAATTAGTAAACTTGAATTGCATTTATTTCCTATGGAACAATACTCTCAACTTACTAAATCTATTACTTATCAATAATCCTGTACGCTTGTAGGTTTTGTACGAACAATTGTTCTATTCCAAATCTACCTTGTATAATTTGAATCGAGATTAATGTCTATCATGGTATATAACAGGAAAACATGAATTCACTTTCAGATTTGGCATCCAAAATTAACAATTTTTTATTGAAACTGTGTGTTCAAGGCATATTGACTTGATGTTTATAAATTGATTTCGAAGATAGAAGATAAAATTAAGCTGGTCTTCTTTGCTAACTGTTTGTTCTCAAAGCAAACTAATAATTGTATTTTATATACTTATTTGAACAAAATGTAGTCATTTAATAGTTTTTTTAAGCAATTATAGCCTAATTTATTGTATATTTTTGTTTATTAAGTAAAACTTGATGATTGGAAGTGGAATTAAAAGAAAGAAGCGAGAAACGACGAAGTACAAAGTTTGAGGACCAAATTGAAAATATTCAATATTTGATAGGAGTCAATTGGATGCAACTAGAATTCAAAAAAGAATGGAATATGATGAGAATATTACCATAAATTGATTTTCAATCACACAAGATATCTTCTAGATTTTTAGTTAAATATTGAGACTCATTTCTAACTTCTTATAAAAAGGGGAAAGAGATGGTACTGTTGATTGAACAGTAAATGAATCTCATGTTCCTGTACAAAATGCAAAAATGATGTTTTTTTCTTCTTATTTCCATCACGCATGACTCCTCTTCACGCAACCATCTGGCTTCCTCTATTTCTCAAAGCAATCTCCCATGCTTATTTCCTTCATTCTCCACGACCACGACCGTACAACTTCTCATTTCTTCTATTCATTTCTTCTTCTCTTTTTTCTATTTCGTTTTCCTTTAATTTTGTCTTCTCGATGGTTGACATTCTAGAAGTTCTAACCATCTATTTTTATTTTCTTTTACAGAGGCTTTCCATTATAGAACAATCGAAAGAATTATTGAAATAAGGGTTTTTGGTAAGTAAATATAGATTTTTGCTATGTTGGTTTGATTTTACTGTGTGATTTTAGGAAGATTTTTTTAGAGGTTATTATTCCTGAAAGATTAAGAATTTTATTTTGTTTTACGAGGCAAGCAATGGATCGGGTTGGAAAAAAGCCCACATCTTCGACCATTGAAGTTGGTGGGTTCGAATTTTGAATTATTTTGGTTTTTTGATTTTCATTTCTGTTGTTGAAAGGTAAATAGTAGTTTTAGCTCTTTGTTATCTCCTCAAGGTGGTTAGTCAAATAGGTGAAAAGAATATGGTAAACTAAAAAAATAAATAACCAAACAGTTTGATAGTTTGAAACTGAAGAAAACTATAGAGAATAAAAAAAGAAAAAAAAAAGAAGGCAATTGAAATCACTTGCTGGGACTCATGAGGAAAGCTTCTTTTTGCGAGGTAGATTGTCAATTTTCACTTTATTTCATTACTTTGGAAACTTGTTATTCTTTAGAGTTATGCATTGTGACCTTAAGAGAATTTACTTCTTGTTGATAGAAGAAGGACAGGAATCACTTCTCAACACAATTGATTTTGATTTATCCATATTCTTGGAGCTACTTTCCAATGCTATATTTTTTTGTGATTATAGTTAAGATTATGTAATTGAAAAAAGAAATCCTCTCCAAACAATGCGGAGAGATGGTTATGGAGAGACCAAATCTCTCCACATAGTTCGGAGAGATCAATTGATCTCTCCAAATTGTACGGAGAGGGTTTTTTTAATCGATTAAGTGTGCATTTGTCTTCTTTTCTTTGGTCCATTTTTTTATATACAATTATATTTAGTTTATTTTTATAGAATGCTTTAAAAAAATAATTAATAATAATTATTAAGCTAATAAAAATTATACTAAAAAAATTATAAAAATCTAATTTCTCAAAAAATTAGTAAACAAAAAAGTAAACAAAATGCATTCACCTATTTTTAGTTTCGTTTGATTTATTAATTTAATAATTTAAATGAACAAAAAAAATTATAAATGTTGTGCGGAGTGTGTGGAGTCTCCACACAATTTGTGTACAGCTCCACACAATTTGTGCAAAGACTCCGCATTGAAACTCCGCACAAATATGTGCTAAGACTGTTGATAGGGTATTAGTAAGTACTTTTTGTATGGTAGTTATAAAGTTAACAATATTTTTTGGAAATTAATTATTGACTTGTGAAATTTCCAGACTACTACTGCAATCTTGTTTACTTTATACAATGCATAGAATATCTCTACTTAATTTTAAATTTATATCATATAGTTGTGGTTAACCAAAAACGTAATGTAAGGTAGGTCTAAAGAATTTTGATGCTTCCGCACTATGTGGAGTCTTCGCACTGTGTCATAATGTACTTATCAATGCAAGTACTCAACTTACATTGTCACAGGTGATCATGAACACTTTAATTCGTGTACTCAAATAATAATAAATGCAATAAAATAAATAAAAATCAAATCTTATTTATTATAAATATCATTTTATCACATCAGAATATATTATTGGGCATGAGACCCAACACCTCGAAGTCAAACTTCCTTCGATAAGCTTCAGCTTCCTTGGCTAAATGAAAATTGTAAAGCTCTTTGATCTTTGTCATACCTCCCATTTGATTTCTATTTTTGTAAGAATGAGAATGAAAAATATAATCGTTACGGGACCCACACAAGAGATAGAAATTTTAATAATATTTTTTTCACTTATGACTATTGCTTTTAAATTTCTATAATACAGGTCCTGTTACCATCTTTTGGGACATTGAGAAATGTCCCGTGCCAAGAAATGTCAGGCCAAAGGATATTGTTGGTAACATTAGGAAGGGTTTACTATCCCATCCTACAATCAATGGACCAGTGATCGTTCTTTCGATATATGAAGATTTTAATACAATTCTGAGGCAAATAAGAGAAGGGTGTCACATGATCGGTATCAAACTTGTAGACGTGCCCAATGGGAGGAAGGATGTTGTCGACAAAACAATTTTGGTAGATATGTTCCTCTTTGCTTTGGACAATCATGAACCCTCATCTATCATATTGATCTCGGGAAACGTAGATTTTGCTCATGCACTTCATATTTTAGGGCAACATGGATACACAATTATCGTTATGATTCCATCTTGGGTGAAAGTTTCATCCTCTCTGAAGAATGCAAGTAGCTATCTATGGGATTGGTGTAGCATGACCCGTGGGAAAGGGTTTGTGCACAGGGATAAGAGAGCAATACCTCATTCAAGTGAAGAAGAAAAAGTAACGTGTACACCAGGTGCTTCCAGTGAGCATAAGGAGTTGACCACCCATGTACAGACCCCAAGAGGTCTAAGTGATTTAAAAGGACAAATTGTTAAGTTGTTAAAATTGTTGGGGGGGAAGTTTATCTCTATTTAAGATAAGCTTCCTCGAGCATACCAATTTGTGTGTTTGGAAATACGGGGTATGGAAACTTTCAAAACTTCTAGGATGGATGAATGATGTGATGATTATTGAGGGAAAAGATAGAGACGGATTTGTCTATCTACGTAGTTCAAGACGCAAAGATACGTAGTTCACATGAGAATGTTTTATAGTTACAATTCTACCATATGATGACTTTGAAAAGTTGGAGATATTAAAGCTAATAGAATCCATAATCTTTTAATCTTTACAATTATCATGTGCAAGAAATTATGACTTTTGGAGCATGTAAACTTGCAGAGGATCTAGCCCCAAGTGTGCATTCAATAATCAAGCTAGCTTTGGAAAATTTGATAGCAAACCTATTCAATTTCGATGGTTGTTTGATGTATTTTTCAACGGTCACTATCTGTGTATGGTTCCCTTTTATCTTTTTAAAAGAAAATAATCATGAAAAAATAATGTTCAGTGCTCTTGCCTTACTCAGTAGGACTTTATTAGCAAGTGTGATGTGTGTAAGTTGGAGTTGCACAAGTATGATCAAGTAGAAATCTTAGTTGTACAACAAAGCCCAGTTGAAAAAGAAAATGGGATTGAACTGTACAAAAAATTTTCAGCCTGAGTTTCTATGATAACTTTAAAGATTTTTTTCAAGTTCAATTCTAGTATTAATACACAAAGCAAAAGTTATTCTTATTTTTTAAAATATTTTTCAAAAAATCACTATTTCAAAATATATTTTTTCCTTTCAAAATCTCATTTTAATAGAGCCTAATTTTTATCTAATCCAAATAGGGGTCAAATTAAAAGAATGATAAAACCAAGGTGGTGTTGGGAATCTACTTATACATGCACAGCGGAAAATTAAATTATTTCGATTCCCATCCAATATATCTCATTGTGTTTGGTTAGGAATTGTGATAAGATTGTACCTTTTGTCAGATCTGCAATTCTTTTGCTTTTCTTTTCGTTCCACAACCTTGATTTGCCACCACAGCTGTCCAATTGTCCAGCCTCCAACGGTGATCCACACAGAGAATATGATTGCAGTCTCTAGGATTTTTTCTTGTGCCAGCAAGAATAATGAAAACCATATGGACCTCAAACCCTAGTTATGTATTTATATAAACCCAAACAGGCTCGGTCCGGTCCGGTCCAATAATTAATTAATCCAATTAATTAAACCCGGTCCGTGAATTAATTAATCCAATTAATTAATTCGAAAATATAAATAACAAATCCAATTAATTAATTTATCCAACGATTGTTAAATTAACCAATTGACAATTTGCAATATTCCAATTCTCTTTTGTGTGTGACCCATTAGGTTCCCGACCACGATGCCTAACGACGTGAAATATTATTTTGATCTAATCAAAAATTGATAAATTAAAACACCCTTTTAATTTATCGTCAATTCACATTCGCCGTCCATGATTAACATCTAGCAATGTGTCAGGGCAATACATATGACGGGAAATGTCACGTGGTATGACAAAACCAAATTCGTTCGTTTATCGTGAAACTATAATTCCTTCGTCAACATGATCCGATCAATTACGAGATATGGAGTTGTGTCAATCTCGATCATCGATCATATCTTTCACTCCACTATTAAGTCAATATAAATCGAAAACTCCTTTTCAACTTATGAGTACACCTTGACCAAGGATTTCATCATTGACTTAATTGAATGAAACGCAGATCATAATCTCCTACTATCTAAGAGTGACGAATCCTTTATTGATCAATCACAGCCTTCATACGATTCTTGACGTACCCGAACGATATCGTATTAGCGGCCCTTTTCAGAGCAACATCCAACACCGCCAAAGTATGACTGCCCTCATATAAGGTACTATAACGACCTCAAGCCAAAGGACCAATTCCACTACCGAACGTTAGAGATTAACCACTGACACTCAGATAGTTATCCATGTGGAATCTCTCGACGGGTCTCCAATGTTTTGTTCTATAACAAAAACATCCACGTGTTCATTTAAGTGTCACCACACTTTAGCTTGTGAGATCAGCTACTTACTTCACAAGTAAGAAATGCCACACGTGATGGTCTATCCGTAATAACGATATCCGTATCTCGTTATTACTTATGATCACGGATGATTTAAGATTCAA